AGGATACTGGGTACAGGATACTGGAACATCTTCTTGAATAAGCAATCAAATAAGTACTTATGGAACATATTCTCAAATAAACACTTCTTGGACATATTTCGAAAATTATGAATGAATTTTGATTGTCAATTGAAACATTAATCAATCTAATATTATTTAGAATGCAGAAAATAAGTTAAACTAACTTCATTTTGACGAGAATTTTTTTTAAAATTTTCATGAAAAATTTGCTGAAATGAGTGAAAATTTTAAAAAAACGGTGTATTTTCCAGGATAAAATCCGTACAATCCGTACAATTTGAAAACAAATCCGTACAATCCGTACAATTTTAGGGTTAAAAAAAAATCAATCCGTACAATCCGTACAATCCGTACAATCCGTACATTTTGGCCACCCTGTATACATATAGAGGACCATATCTTGAAGAGCTGAAAGCCTTGCCAACAATTATTGCATCTTTTGCAGGCTTTTTCACAACGTTTGAAACATCTAACGACAACCCTAAACTAAACACCTTAGTGAATGAGAAAAATCCAGTATTACGCTCTATAGTAGGGTTTCTAGCGGAATTAAAAAATCGCAAAACAATATTTGCGCAAAATTAACAAAATTAGGGAATTGACCTGAACTGCTTCGAGTAGAACAGGATTTCCTCGAGGTAATTCAGACCAGTCCATATTACTCAGCTGTTGCTTTAATCTAGAAATTGAAATGTTATATTTCACCGCAGCAATCAAAATAATGAAAGACGATTTTAGCATTAAATTAGTTTTTACGGGAAAAATTGACCATCAATGAAAAGAGAAGAAGTTGAATAAGTTTTTAACCTTCCGGTGAAAAATATTTTGACCCCATCCCTGTTCAAGTGACTCAGTTGATTGACAACAGTTACCTTTAAAACCTGTATCTGATTAAATAAGTGGCAGATAATGTCGCTTTTCTGACTCGAAAAGTGTTTAAAACTCATTAGTTCTCCATTGCTTCTTATAAGCAAAAATGCGCAAGTGACTTTTGCAGAGAAACCGGAAATGAAACTAAACAAATTAAAGAAACAAAATCATGTCAAAAAACTGTTAGGGTACCGTTGTAAATCAAACATTGACATCTTTGCATGAATGGTCCCTTGAAACTACGCTTACAGTCCCTTTAAATTATTAAACAAACCTAGCAATATCTGGGAAATCTCCTGCAGGAATATTGTACTCCTCCTACAACAAAATCATCAAACTTTATTTTAAAACAAACACCTAAACTTTTTAAATGCTATGATAGCTTTCAAGAAAAAAGGCGAAATAGAACAAAGCCACAAAGGCACTGATGTTCTGCCACAAAATTAAATTTTCTAATCCCTATATCTTTGCAACCTGATGTTTCTAGCTTATACTATTTTATCTTACAGAACTCAGTTTGAAATATCTAAGTTGGTAAAGAATAAAGATAAAGGGATTAGAAAATCAGAGTGCGGGGCAAAGACTCAATTCCTTTATTCAATGTTTTTGTAAAGCAGCTTAAAACTATACTTTATCCATATATGCAGTGGACACTGGACAGCATGATTTCATAAGAAAACATTAAAATGTCTGTAATCTAGGGCCTGTAAAAACTGAAAGATTTTTGAAGCGTACCTCCACAGATTTACAAATTTTTGGCAATTCTTCCAAAAGTTCTCTTTTCTTGGCTTCTTTGCCTAAAATAAATAAGAATAGATTTTATTCTTAACATATGTTGAAATATAGATTATCTGTTTTTTTCTACTAATATTTTTTTTAATTGCTGAATGCCGATTTATCTCGTAAGCCTTTTTCTTAGTACAGTTTTCTTCGTTAGACACCCCCCCCCCCACCCCGATAGAAGTTTAGCTGGCAGAATAGAATTAAGATTTACCTAAAAACATCGGCATTTGTCTCTGAATCTCAGTGAGAATGTGAGCATGCGCCTGCAAGAAAAGGCAATTTTTTATTTTCTATATTCTTCAAAATTCGGAGACATGGACATCCTAGAAATTTTGCAAAAATTTAAGAAATTTTTTTGAAAAAAATTTTAAAACAAGTTTTTATCCGATGATGTTAGAATTGTGTTTAAAATTAGTAAACGAAATGAATGCAACCTACATTTCAAATTTTAGAAAATTTCCATTCTTTTGTAAATTCATTTAAATCAGTTAAAATATATTGTTTACCTTGGCAAGCCTTGCTCTCTTAATCATGTCATTAAGCTTCCTAAATTACAATCTTAATTACCATCTTGTTACCAATATTACCAATATTACCAATATTACCAATATTACCAATATTACCATCTTGTTAACAATATTACCTACCAATGATTACACCAACAGTTAGTTACTTAACCAGCCCTTAGGAAAATTCAGTAAGAAAACTCTGAGAAGTTTTGTGAAAAAATTACATATTCAACTCAAAAGATGATAAAGTTGTGTTTTGTGTTGAACTACTTTCTTTAAATCCCGAACTAACGAGAGAGAGAAGCATTTGGTTTCTTTTATTTGAAATCAAACGTGTTTTCGTCTATAAATCAACAGTCTTTATACTTACAGATTTGTTTATAATACTTTTTCATTCAAAATGTATATGCCAACAAAAAAATATTTATGATAAAAGGCTATAAAATTATTAAAAAGGGGTCAAATTGTGATCGAAAGTCACCGTTTTCTGAAATATTGACAGAACCGTTAAATCCACGTGCTACTCCCTCCAGGTGAAGGAGGATAATGAAATACCTGAGTGTAGAATTTCTATGTAAGGAATATAAATCCGAGAAAAGATCTTGTTCTTCAGCGAAGAAAAGTCGAGAGTTCATCTCGTATCTACAAAATAATTCAGTGGAAAAAAGAAACAAAGAAAAAGAACTAAAAACTTTTAAAATGATCCTGAAAATGTTCAGCTTCCGTTTCGCAGACCGGAAAAAATTCCGATTTCCAGTCCTTAAACCGGAAACATTTTCCGGATCACTCCTTTTACATAATGGATTTTTATTTTCCGGAATAATGGAAACCCTAGTTGTGGCTGAATTGCTTGAAAATACCTCAATGGTTTATCCCAAAATGATCCAATATAGACTCGAGCAACCTCTGGAGTCTGGAACACCTATAAACATTCGTTATGAAAATATGAAATAATTTTCAATTTAATCAATTCTAATTTTTATAATGAAAGCTTGACTGTGTAAATGAAATTTTTTAAACTATTTTACGAATCATTAAAAGATATTTCGTTTCATGCATATTACCTACGTTGCAAACTAAACCCTAGATTTGCTCTTTCATTTTTCAAATGTTCATGTATATTGTATAATGTATACATTAAAAAAATCATATTTTGAGATTATCTTGCATAATTATTCAATATAAGCTTTAGTGTTTTTTGTGTTTCTACCATCAAGGTCCATACTAAATCGGTTCAAGGAAATTATCAAGGTTATCATTCGATACTGAGCAAAATTAGATTGAATCTTACAACTTATTTGGACATCCATGCTGGCCTAACAACCCTATGAAAACCGTGAACCAACCCTTTAAGGTGAACCTTAATTTTCTGAAGTGTCCAGTCCGGTCCAATTCCCTTCGTACCGTTGAAAGCTTTGTATGATAAAGTATGATTCATCATTATTTTACGAGAATGGTTTTTTTCAATTGTGTTTTGTCTATTAAAGGAACATGCGGTATTTCTTGCTACAGAATTAATGAAGAAAATTGTAAGAATTAAACCTTTATGCCATAAAATCAGTGCTTAGGATCCGGATCCGTTGGATCCCCAAGGTTTTGCCTTCCCGGATCCGCATCCAAAGGTTAAAATATCAACCAAAACTGCAAAAAAAAAACTTTTTTAATCCTAAACTCAAATCTGAACTGAAGAGAGATTATAAAAATTTCCTCATTTCTAAATGGTTCATCAAGTTTAAGGATAAAAATAATTGAAAAAAATAAAACAAAAATTTGAAAATTATTTTTTGTTAAAAAAATTAAGTAAATCTTAAAGAAATGACCAGAATCCTTTTTTTTTTCCAGTGCGGATCCGCATCAAAATCAAATGGATCCTAAGCACTGCATAAAATCTTCCAGATTATTGACCAGATAACGTTTAAATGTAAATCGGGTCTGTTTAAAAAAGGGTCACTACAAATTTCAACGACAGTCCTTTTAAGATTTAAAAAACAAAATCTAACCCAAAGGTGTACATATCTTTCTTTTCCCCAGATGTTTCCAAAATAACCCCCCACCCCACCCCCCTGGGAGAATTTTTGTAAATATAAACTCCTGATCTAACCTTTCCCAAGCTCCACATTAAAGCTCCATAAACACGCATCAACTCCTAAATTATTTATTCATAAAAAGAAATGGATAAAGTTTCATCAAAGAAATTCTTTAGTCTCTAAAAGTTTCAGTTTAATCGAAAATGGAAAAAATTTAACTAATAAGCTTTTTTAAATTATTTGTCATTTTCATAATTATTTTATATAAATTTTTTATTTTCCGTTCTGTTATACATGTTGACATTTCAATTTCATAAAAATTAATTACAAGAAAGTAAGCAATAAAATTGAAATAATAGCCAATTTTTCGATTTCAAAGAGGATTGCTCAAGATTTTATCATTTGAACCAAAACAAGGCTCAACATTAATGTTTAGATAATGCTCGGAGACAGATTAAACATATAAAATCAAATAAAAAAATTCATAAAAAAAAATCACAAAATTTGATAACATTCAACTCGAAAACATCTATATTTGATAACATTCAACTCACTATATATCGGTGGGTGTGTTTCAACATTAAATTTAACATTTTTTTTTCTTTTCAGGCTTTAAAATATTTCTTCCTAAAACTCGACTTATTATAAATATTTTTAGTATTTTTTATTGAACATTTACCTGTTGTTCGACTAGATCAGCTTTATTAAGAATAATTCTAATTTTATCCTCATGTCCTCTCAGCGCTTCAATACAACTTCGAAATTCATCTGAAAACAAACACATTTAAGGGACTGTGTAAGCGTTATTTCAAGTGACCCTCCATGCAAAGATAACAATGCCCGATTCACAACAGTCCCCTTAAAACAGTATCTAATTATAATGAGGAAAATATTGTTGTTTTTCTAGCTTTAAACGTGCGTAAAATGCACATATCACTTCTGTAGAGAATTCACAATTGAAAATTATTATACTGTATCAGACATAACTTTTCAGGCGCCCCTGATTTAAAGGCAATTTTTAGCTTTTAAAAGTTGCTTAATAAGTCGCTCTTTTCACCGTATTAGTCTGCTCATTGCACAATATAAATTTACATTTTAAAAAAATGAGTTATGGACAGAAAAGAATGTTGAAGTCTCAGATTTCACCTTTCCCCTCATACAGTGGTAGGCGATTACATCATTACAATGAAGACGACTTTCAATTTCAATTTCGATTTAAATCAAGCTGTAAAACAGCATGGATAGACATAAACATAGTCACGTGAAGCTATCAAATAAAAAAGCTTCTTTTTGACTACTTGTAAACTTGTAATTCGAAAAAAGTTTGTTAACATTTAAAACTTAATTTAAAAGTCGTCTTCATTGTATTGATTTAATCGCCTACCACTGAATATTTGGAAATTACGGAAGGACCAATACAACTGTGAAATATGAAGACGACATCTTATATTTTACCTGATATATCCAGCTTGTGGGCATCAAACAGAAGCAAGATTCTAAAGAACAAAAAAGTTAAGTTCTCATTTATAATTGAACAAAAAAACATTGATGAACCACTTTAACCACTTTAACCTTGAAGAGGCTTAAAGAATAAGGAATTGAGAAAATAACTGTATAACACCTAAATATAAATAATATACAGAGCGTCCCATATCATATTGGATTATATCCAAGCTTTAACGTTAAAATACGCACAGAATACTCGAAAACCCAAGTGTTACCATTTAAAAGTGGTCGAAAATAAAGGAAATGTAAAGCATGAAACTGATGTGAATGAGTCTGCAGAGTGTAGGAAAAAAATATATGTTCATTATAAAAAAGAACAAATAATGATTGATACTAATGAACCGAAGAAAGCCGCCGAAGCTCTCTGACAGACTATCCGCCTCATATGACGGGTTAATCTATCTCCTTTCGATTCTTCGTGAACACTATCTCCCTGTTTCGGTTTTAGCCTCGAAAACCTTATTTTCCGCTCCCTCTTGTGTCTAAGTCTGAATTTGTCTGAGTTTTAAATAGAGAGTTTGACGGCGGCTGGAATTTTCCACGAGTTGAAAGCATAATTTCTGGATGGCATCTTTTAACGGACAGAATCTGAATACACTATACATGAGGCAACTTATCATCCGTCCCACTTTTTGTCCGACCTATAGCTTTATACAAAAGAGCTAATAAGCTGTCATGTTTATAGGCCAGACTATGCAATCCGAGCTTAGCTCCGGGTCTGTATGAAGACTGAAGAGGTTGCATCACCCCTAGGTAATGTAAAAGCTACCTGTCCCCTCTCTCTGCAAACCACTCTACCACCCCTGAGAAATCATATCCTCTATCTTGTCTCTGTTTCTCCCCTGAGAGTATTCCAGGAGTGTCAACCAATGATAATCCTAGAAAACAGGAACAATATCAGACCTTGGAACTTTTGAATCGAAGAAATAAGTTTATATCCCATTGGTCAAAATCAGTAACGGAAATAATGTGAAGTTGTACACCCCGAGCCGGTACTACATGCACTGTATATACATGTAGTCGTACTGTCTAGTCTGGACTACCCAGTGCAGAGTCGATCCAACACGTTTTATGCAACAAATGTAGCTTCGGCAAGATTACAGTGTGAACAAATGCCTATCAAAAAGTCAAAGGCGGATTCAGGGGGGGGCATGGGTCTCGGCCCCCTATGGATCAGTGAAATCTATGATTTCCAGGAGTTTTTGGGTCCCAACAGGTGATGAGACCCCCCCCTCTGAACAGAAAAAAATGTAATATATTCCAAGCTATGCTTGCCTCAGTTCAGTCTCTTTCTGATTATTTTGGAAGACTGAACATTATTTGGACTTTTAGTAGAAATTTTTTTAATGAAGTCTGATTTTTAAGAACTAATCCTCAAAAACATTTGTGAGACCAGATCAAGGAATTCCTCAGAAACAGCAAACAAAATATTCCGACTTTGTAAATTTAGAAACCTAGGCTTTTAGGGCGCTTCGTGCCCATCTTCTATTTAACTTGTGAACATTTTCTCTTTGAATGCATAGTAAAACCAAAACAAAAATAGCGTTCGCGGGGTTTATAAAAAAAATTTCGTGGATTTTCAAAATTTAATAGAAATCGAATTTTGTTAGTGGCTAATGTTTGGAATTTTTTATCATTCACAAACCTTCCTTGAGCCCGATAGGTTCAGCTGTTTTGACGTTTATTGGATACAAACGGACAGACAGACAGATGGACAAACAGAAAAGATTCCAATCTTATATAATTAAATCAATGTTAAAAAACATGTTTTCTGTTTTAAAAGGGACGTTCTGCGTATAGACCCTTCATGGAAGGATGCCAATGCTTGATTCACAACGGTACCCTTAAAACCTTTATCTGAACAATAATGTAAACATGTTGTTGTTTTTCTTAATAAGTGTTGAATTCTGGTAAATACAATATGTTTTCTTGCAGTAGAAATGTGGAGGTAAAAAAAATCAAACATTGATATCTAATTCATACTTGATCAGACAGAGCTTTAAAGGGTACCGTTGTGAATCGAGCATTGCCATATTTGTATGGAGGTTCACTCATAATTAGGCTTACAGTCTCTTTAAACATGAACAATAAACATAACAGATTTTACAAAACATTCCAGTCAAAGTATGATATATTTAATTTGATTTACCTGTAAGAGTTGGTGCTGGACATGTTGACATCTGAAACCTGTTTAGGAAGCTGGAACCAAACTAACAAACACACTTTTTATTGGTTTGGTTAAATATTTTCTAGAATTACTCCCCCCCCGCCCCCCCCCCCCTATTCATTTATTTTCAGCTTTAGATTGAATCAAAGGGAGCGGGAAATCAAAATGAGTTTTCGAAAAAATGAGAAAAAAATTTGCAATTGTAAATCTCATTTTAGAATCGCACACTAACAACAAATTGGGGCGAAAATCTATGTAATAGGTTAAGCTCTTTGCTCATATATATGTTAGCTAAAGCTAGCCCAAAGGCTGAATTTTTTTAGGGAACTCTTAAGTACCCCAGGCCAGGGGAAACAAAGGCTACAAAAAAACTAGAATTTTTTTTAAAAATTCGAAATACTTTTTTAAATATTTAATTTTTTTTAATTCAAATTTTTTTTCGAGTTTTTATAAAATTTTACGGTCAACGCAGAAACCATCAGCTAGTTTAGTATATTTCATAATGTTTTTTATCAAATTACAGGATATTGATATGAATATTTAATATTTTATAAAAGATTAAAAAAACGTTTCCTTAGAAAGCGGGGAAAATTGTTTCTCATGATCCATAACCAGCGCATGACCTAAAACAAAGTATTCGTAAATTTTTATTTATACCCCCCCCCCTCTGAATCCATGACAGATACCCACACATTTGATAAATTAGTTTTGTAAATAATTATGCTTCTTGACAGCTTCGTGCCATGTTTCTAGCTTTTAAATTTTGCCGTTGAAATTTCAAGCCACCATTTCTAAAAACATTTCAAAATAACTCAAAAATTGAAAAAAAATAAAATCCCGTGGTTTTTATAAATTTGAAAGAGAGGGTGGTGGGGTAGTTTTTACCTGGTATACTATTATTTGTTTCTCCATTGCAGATAACAATAAATCTAGAAAACAAATCTACATAGTTTTTAAGTGAACAATAAACAATTAAAAGGCTAAAAAAAACTTGTAAACTGTAACCTAATCCTGAAAAGGTTTAAAATACAAAAAAGAAACTGTATTACTTCCAAGTGTGATAAAAACAAACTAATAACATTTGGAAAAACACTTGATATTTGTAAAATTTATTTTGCGTGTGAAATAAAATTTTTTTGAAATCTAAATATTTATTGTCTTTTTAAATTGTACAGAATAGTTTACGTGTAATCGACAAATTCGTTTACATTTTTTTTAGATTTGTGAAATAAATACAAAATTGTTTACATGTGTTTACATTTTTTTTTTGATTGATAGATCTGTATCAGGGTTAAATACGTACATTTCTTAAATTAGAAATTTGGACTTAAGGATACTTAGATCCTGCAAGACATATAAATTGAAGAGTGCAACAGTGAAGTCGTAGAAAAATTAAAATGCATATAATAAGTCATTGACGATAAGAGGGTATGCGAATAGAATAGAAACTTTTAATATACGAATCGTCTGCATATAATTTGGACATTTTATGAGGAAAATCAATTTGCGCAAGCACTATACAGTTTTTATGAAACAATGGTATAAAGTCAATTTACACTATATGGAAACAACTACGATTGTACTAACGAGGAACATTGAAAGTTCTAAAAAGGAACATTGAAAGTTCTAATAAAATGATACTCTTGGATCTTGCATATTAAAAAAGGGATCCAATAGGATACAAACTAACACTACCAACATTGATACGGGGTTACTCACAAAGGGTGAAACTTTAAAAAACGACTGTACAAACTTTATTTCATTTTGTTCATGAATTCCAGAAACACATTAGTCAAAATTTAACCTTTAGATTGTTATATCTGAACAATTTTAAGGTCATCATAAAAGTCTCATCCTTTGTGGGTAATTATCTAAATATATTTTTGACACTACCGAAAAAAAAATCTCTTTTTTTCCCAGTCAGGTGGAACACTGGAGAACAATTTACATGTGAAGAAAAGGGGGGAAGGGGATGGCTTGTCCAGCAAATATAACCCCCTGAAATTCACCTGTCTGTGGTTGGTTCCGGCCCAACTCTGCTGTCAGGGTATTCACTTCCAATCAGATATTTTATCATTGACGTCTTACCAGTCGAGTACTGTCCTTTATTATAAATATTTCATTAGATTTCTGGGGCCGGACGTAATGAGGAGATAAAAATAAAGGTTGTTAATAAAATCCATTAAAATTAAGCTTCTGAGAAAAAAGTGTTCAACTGTTTGGTTTTAACGCCCTTTAGTTTAATTAGGTATTAAAATTTTAACTACAAAGGCTTTCCAAAAATGTAGTTTTTAAATCTGTAGCTTTAGTCAGAAAAAAAGTTATGGGCTTTTTTTAGATATTTTATTAACAGACCAGACTTTTAGCACCCTGTACCCTACCCTATGAATTAAAAAAATCCTTTATAATTACTTTTCCTTAAAAGTAAAAAAAAAATTTCCAGGCAAAAAATGAAAGTGCTAGTGGAAAAACTAGGGTGGGGGGGAGGACGTCAACCCTCCCCCCTCCCCCCAGCCTCCTTAGGGTTAACTTGGTTTAAAAATCATAAGTTGAGTGGGCTAACTTTTAAAGAAAAGATTTGTTTCCGGGCAGAGCTGGGTTCCCAGACTAGTATTTATATATAATTTGTTGTCTCTTTTTGTTTGATTGTATGTTCTATCATAACTTAGGAACCCCTTGACCGATTTGCCTCAAATTTTGATGAGGAAACTCAGGACTCACAGGGAATATTTTTAGCTTGGTACAAAAAAGGTTAGGTTGACTTTGAGCGGAAAATTTTTTTCCGGAAAAATTGGGTTTCCACTTCCCAAGCCAGTAATTTATAACAAAAATTTAACTCGTAATTATGTTTAAAAAATTCAATATACTGCAAAATTATTAATTTTTTGTTCTTCATTTATTTCAAAAATTTTTTGATAAAAATGTATTTACCAATCAGCAGTACCAACGGAAGAGAATCAAAATCTGCTTCATTAAGTTGGGGACTATGAAATCTATGGAACAGATAATGTTTTTCAAGCGGCAGCAACTGAAAAACCGTCAAAAGTTATAAAGGATGCATATTTTCAACATTTTCTGGGGATGGGGCTCCAACGTTTTTTTCTATTTGATAAAAACTTTACCCCATTAAAAATAAAATTTAATTAAATCCAGTACTGTGTACCAACAGCTGTAATTTATAATCATTTTAATTAGACAGGTTCATCACAGATTTTTCAAGATGTCAAATTGAACACAAAATGGTAGAACCATCTGTTTAAAGTCAGGCTGGGTTAAGATGTCAGATAGACACACGAAGTTTCTAAGAACAAGGGGGGGGGGGTCCAAAACACCTTTACTTAGATGTTGCGGGGGGTGTGGGTCTAATTTAAAAAAAGTTAAAACTCGATCACCCTTAACATATCTATCAATAAAAGTTGCCTTCCCCAAAGAATTAAGAAAAAATTGGTAGGAGGGAGGGAGGGTGTGGGGGGCCCCGGGGGGGTCCAAAAATCGCACAATAGGAAATTACCCCGTAACTTTACTATCGCATCAATTACCACAATTGGTTTAATAGATTAACACTAAAACAACAAAACCAAAATCGCATTATTATTTCGAATCGCGACATATAAAATGCTAGAATTCTATTCAGAATACAATCACCTTATTAAAATATGATTTCTTCAATCCATCTACAACTGTTCCTGAGCCAAGATCTTCCTGAGATAAAAGCCAGCTAAACCTAAAATCATCGTGCTAATTAGAATTTCTAGATTTCATTTCAAATATTTTAAAGATAAATTAATCGAAAAAATACCTTTGAGCAATGGTTTTCTTATCTTCGGTATATAACCTAATGCACTCACATTTTTTACATTTCAGATTTTGAGAGATAATTCTCCGTCCTTTCTGAATAACTCTTGAAAACATTTTTGTTTTTAAATAAATACAAATACAAAGATCAGCTGTTTCTGTCTGCAAACAGTTTTAGCAGAAAGCTATCATAGTATGATTGTTAAAATGTCGTCTTCTTTTTTATTTTTCTAAAGAAAATATTTGTTCAACTTTTTCTATGAGGTTTTTTTTCTAATTTAAACCAAATAGTAACATAACAACCCCAGGCCTGTAGCTAGGGGGGCACGGGGACAAATGCCCCTCTCCATTTTTCCCACGAAGAGGATGCATCGGGGGGGGGGGG